AGCTAGGTTGTTGAGGGCTTTGTAGGTTAGAAGTAAGATTTTGAATAGGGATGGGGGCGATCCGATCCAGTATCCGTATCGGCCTCCGATACCAGCATAATTTATGTATTGGATTTTTCCAATCCACATGCCGATATTTCCGATCCATGATGCATGTTGGCTTCAAACTATGGAATGGATTTCCTGAACGGCGGCGTGTCTCATGAACCCAGAGTAATAAGACCCGCCTCACATTCAGGAAATCCAGTTCATAGTTTGCAGCCAGCTACAACGTGAGGGCTGAGTTAGCAGCACTGTGGTTAACAGCTAACCAACTTTTCATCTAAACATGTCCGCTGTGTGGAAGTATTTTACACTAGAAACGCCACAAAACAAGACAGCAATGTGCAATGTCTGCAGAGCCATAGCGCTACATTAAACTGCGGTAAAGTTAGTTTTACGTTGGACATTCGAGCTCTGTGGCTTCAGCGGGGTGCTACTCTTTGCTCACCTGGAAAGAGGCGACTCGACCCCGGGCAGCCGCGTCCAATCTGCCCCGCTCTGCCCGTCTCTGTGGAGGGACAGACTGAGCGCGGCTGCCCCAAGTCAGACTGCCTGCTTCGGACTGAACAAGAAGAAGACATCCCTGAAACCACGGAGCTCAACTGTTTACAGAGAAGTTGCTAAACTTCATCATAATTAATGACAAACCACTATCAGTTGTAGAAAACGAAAGATTTCACAGCTTGATACTTGCAGCCAAGATATAGTTTACCCTCCAGGAGATATTTATCAGTACAACAATAAACAATCATAAAAAAAATATGATTTGAAAATTATATTAAAAACAAAATCAGCTACATTATAAAGTGATGTAAAATACTAAAAACGGGAACATGTCTGTTGGTTTATGCCATGAACTTAGCAGGTGTTTGAAGCCATTTAACATTTTATTTAATTTAATTCATTCATTTAAAAGAAACAAAATTAAAAAAAAATCATGAAAAAGAAAACATTGAATGAAAGAGTGCAGAAAGAAGAAAAAAATTATTATATCTGCCCGTTATTTAAAAACATATAAAATAACTTCAAACACTCACTGAATTTAATCACTAATATCCACTTTAAAGCTAGGACTAAAAAGAAACATGTTTTGTGTTAGCAGAATTTAATTCTAACTTTAAAACTTATCCAACATTAATAAAACTTGCCTCAAGTTGCCTTTTTGGACATGCATGCATATATTTGTACAAATTGTACTTGAGAGGAGATTATTACAGCCTCATATAAAATCAATGATGAATATATATATATATTATATATATATATATATATATATATATATATATAAAATTATCATTGTTATTATTATTATTTATTATTATTAATAACAGCTAATGACTTAGTATTTAGCCTGTCAGATCATCATATGCTTTATTAACTGATGAATTTGCCATTTGGACAAAGACGTATACTTTTATTGAAGTTCTTTTATCAGCACAGGAGTCTATTCAAAAAGTGTTTGGAAGAATACCATATATATACTGTATACATATATAATCTGGCACTGCTTGTCTGTTTTACTTTCTACGATTTCCGCAGACAGACCTCACGTTTTCTGTCCTTCTGACTTGCTGCACTCACTGCAGTTCTTCTCTTAAACAGTTGGCGTCGCTGCGGAGCAAATAATAAACAACTGAAAAAACCAGAAGAAGAGTCACCGGAAGTACGGACTTTAAGCTAACAAAGAGATGGGATGTACTGTGCTGTACTTTTAGACAGAACTACGAACTGATTTTCAGTAACTTTGCAGTAATTTCATCTTGAGTTCAGTTCATGTGCACCGGTTCCGTATCTATTATTTTAAGGAAACTTTAGCTAACAGAGATGAGGAGACAGCAGGCTAAACAACGAGAGGAAGTGGCTACGGAAGAAATGTTGGAGTTTCTGGAAACAACAGTCTCAGATTATAAAGAGGAAACATGTCGTTTAAAGGACAAACTGCAACACAACCAAACCCAAGATGCTGTTTTCAACCCAGAAGTTCTGCTTCACAGTTCAGGTTTGTATCTAAACATTAATGATTTTCAGTGTGATCATTTTAGTTACAGTTTCACGGATTAATGTTTTCCGTCCCCGTGACGGATTTCCGTCATTTTCAGTTATTTTTATTTATTTAAAGTCAATATATTTACTTTCAGGTGAAAAAGATATTATCAGCGATATCAGATGTGAAAGTAATTGTGAATGCACAAAAGTACTAATAGTAAATATAAAGGATATAGGAATTGAAAGAGAAGGTAGATATAATGAATAAAATAGATTTGTAAATCAAGCAAAAAAACAAAAACAAACTCTGTACAGTTCCATTGTAAACATAATCCTTGGGGGTTTATTTAAGTTTACGGTTGTCAACCTTCTTGGAGTTCCACAGCAGGCTTTTCCAGATGTTTCAGTGATGGAGAGGGGGGGGTGGGGGGACACAGCGCTTTGTGAAATGTAACAGTTTGTTTTGGACTTTAGGAATATTTTTGTGTACTACTGTATATAGAGAATGTATATATAGAAATTCCATGACTAACTTTGGTGTGCGAAGAAGATTCATTACTTATATTTACAAACTGGAATCTATCAGATAATTATGATTTAAACAATTTTCACCTTTTCCATCCACATTTTGATGCTGATGGTACCGGGAGTTGAACCTGCGACTTTCCGATCACAGGCCCATCTTCTCTAACGTCTGCGCCACCACTACCTTATTTTTTTATTATTATTTTTTTAAGAGCTGTTCCTTTAATCCCAATATCTTATTGAAGCCTCTGTAGTAAAATAATGTGATCAACTGTATCAAATGCAGCACTGAGGTCTTACAAGACTGGTAGACACAAGTCCATTGTCTGAGGCCATGAGAATATCATTAGTGACTTTCACAGTGCTGTTGCTGTGCTTTGATGAGTAAGGGTGCGAGTCTCTGTGTCTGGCGATTCGATTCAATTCCGATTTTTGGTTTCACAATTCGATTCAAAATTGATTTTTGATTGAGAAATGTTTTTCTATTCAGAAACGTTTTTTCTATTGAAATGGTCATACATTTTGTTACAGTTATGTAATTGTCAAGCTGAAAAGAATAAACAACAATGTAAACAAATAGAACATTTATTTAAAACAATAATTTTAGGTTCCTTACTTTATCAAATATTTTTGCATTGTTTTATATTTATACCAAAAATAGGAACAAATATGGGAGTGCATAAAATTTTGTAACTTAAATTACCAGTATTAGGTTAGCTTAGTTGCCTGGATTTGTCTCAAATAAAAAAAAAATAAAAAAAATTCTAAGAACAAATAATTCATCCATCCATTATCTTTTCTTTTTTCTTTTTTTGGCTGATGTAAAACAGATTTATTTAATTTTTAGGCCATCAAGCATTTTTTCTTTTAACAAAATAAAACAATTGCATAACTTAAATAAACATGCACTTAACAACACTTAGATAAAATAATACTGTAGCAGGAAGAAGTGACCTCTGAACCTGAGGAACTGTTTTTTTTTTTTAATCATTATTTTAATTTTCCTTTTTTTTAAACAATAAACAAAAATAAGAACAACAAACGAACAACAAGCAGCCTTCACTCTCAAAGAAAAGGAAAGGAAAATTTTTTTTTTTTTCTTTCCATAAAGTAATAAAAATATATTTCTGAGTCAAATCTTTGTCCCAATTGTCAAACAGGCACTTTTATTAACCAACAGCTGTAACTCTACTAAATGTCTAAAAAATAAACTATTTATATAAATTCAGTAATAATCCTCTTCAGCTGCGACGCCTTCACAATATTAGTAAGCGTGTGTGAAACAGCACGTGATGGAGAAGGAGGAGCCGCGTGAAGTTGGATGGGCAGAAAAAGACACGGTCCTTAGCGGCTAATAAAATGGCTAACTTTAGCCTTCTTGTTCTACAGTTGAGACTGGGACCATGTCTTTAGCAATATGATAAGCTGCTGATTTATTAATGTCACACCACCTCACACTGTTCCTCTTATAAGGCATAGCACGGCTAAACAAGTTCTGACTCGTGGTTTGTCTCAGGGAAGGATCCAAAAACGTTCAAGGCAAGGTCTCAGGGAAGGAGGCTGAAAACACAGTCGGAGTTGCGGCTTACAGCTTAACTTATAGTGTTGTTTTAAATGGTGAAAAAGATTCGTAGTTCTGACCTTTTGTCGGGACTTGTTTTCGGCATAGTCTACAGAAAACATTTTTCTGCTGCTCATCTGACAATATAAATCCAAACCAGCTCCAAATAACAGTCATTGTTTTTCTTTTTGCTCAGCAGCTAAGCTGCTCTTTATATCTCCCATGTTTACTTGTTGTGTTAAACCCCCCCCCCCCCCCCCCCACACACACACACACACACCTGGAGAAGCAGGAAGCAGAAGGAGCGAGCATGGGTGAGGGACTGGGTTCGCATTCAGAGCGAGCGAAGGAGCGGCTGTGTGAAGTTGGAGGCGCAGATGGAAGAAAAGCAACTACATGGTTTTTCAAGTCTAATAATACTCGATGGTTGCGATAAAGCCATTTTAACCATCGTAAATTTAAAAAAATCTCTACATCGAGTATATTCGATATAAATCGATTTATAAATATATATAGGTCAATACACATATGGACAAAATTGTCGATACCCCTTGGTTAATGAAAGAAAAACTCACAATGGTCACAGAAATGACTTGAATCTGACAAAAGTAATAATAAATAAAAACAATTATGAAAATGAATACATGAAAGTCTGACATTGCTTTTCAACCATGCTTCAAAAGAATTATTTAAAAAAAATAAACTCATGAAACAGGCCTGGACAGAAATTATGGTACCCTTAACTTAATATTTTGTTGCACAACCTTTTGAGGCAATCACTCCAATCAAACAATTCCTGTAGTGGTCAGTGAGACTTCTGCACCTCTCAGCAGGCATTTTGGCCCACTCCTCATGAGCAAACTGCTCCAGTTGTCTCAGGTTTGAAGGTTGCCTTTTCCAGACCGCATGTTTCAGCTCCTTCCAAAGATATATTCACCACTTGCTCTCGACGGGGTCTGACGCTTTTTCCCCTCCTCTCCGCTTTGTTTTACTTCTCTGTCTGTCTGTGAAACTGCTTTTGAGCCTCTCTTACAGCCTAAGAAGGGAGGCCCAGACTTCCCTCTCCCCAGCCACTTGGGCCAGCTCTTCGGGGGAATCCCGAGGCGTTCCCAGGCCAGCCGAGAAATATAGTCCCTCCAGCGTGTCCTGGGTCTTCCTCTGGGCCTCCTTCCGGTGGGGCATGTCCGGAACACCTCACCAGGGAGGCGTCCAGAAGGCATCCTAAACAGATGCCCAAGCCACCTCAACTGGGTCCTCTCGATGTGGAGAAGCAGCGGCTCTACTCTGAGTCCCTCCCGGATGATCGAGCTACTCACCCTATCTTTAAGGGAGAGCCCAGACACCCTGCGGAGAAAACTCATTTCGGCCGCTTGTATCCGAGATCTCATTCTTTTGGTCACAACCCAAAGCTCGTGACCATAGATGAGTGTAAGAACATAGATCGATCGGTAAATTGAGAGCTTCGCCTTTTGACTCAGCTCTCTCTTCACCACGACAGACCTGTACGGCGCCTGCTTCACTGCAGACACTGCACCTATCCGCCTATCGATCTCACGCTCCATTTTTCCCTCATTCGTGAACAAGACCCCAAGATACTTGGAACTCCTCCACTTGGGGTAGGACCTTCTCCCTGACCCGAAGAGGGCACTCTTCCCTTTTCCGGCTCAAGACCATGGCCTTGGATTTGGAGGAACTGATCTTCATCCCAGCCGTGTCGCATTCGGCTGCGAACCGCTCCAGCGAAAGCTGTAGATCACGATCTGATGAAGCCAAGAAGACCACATCATCTGCAAAAAGCAGAGACGCAATCCTAAGGCCACCAAAACGGATCCCGTCAACACCTTGGCTGCGCCTAGAAATTCTGTCCATAAAAGTTATGAACAGAATCGGTGACAAAGGGCAACCTTGACAGAGTCCAACTCTCACCGGGAACAAGCCCGACTTACTGCCGGCGATGCGGACAAGGCTCTGACACTGCTCCTTCTGTATCCGAGGTTCGACTATCCGACGGACCCTCCTCTCCAGAACCCCCGAATAGACCTTACCAGGGAGGCTTAAGAGCGTGAAGAACGCTCAAGGATCGCTTGTCCTGTCCAGCATTGTGACACTCAGAATTATCGTCTGAGTGTCAAGGTGATGCCCAACAGATTTACTTTCACAAGCAGAGTATTATGGCTGGCCTTAATGCTCCAAATGGTAAATAAGTAAAACTTTATTAGACTTTGCTTTGGGGTTGTTTCAGTTGTAATGGACATGGGGATGAAAAACAAAGAAAACAAAGCAGAAAAGTGGGAGAAGGGTTAAAAGGTAAAGAAGGATATAGGAATAGAGGAGAGAGAGAGGTATAAAGAGAACACAAATCAACATCATTGAAATATGCCTCTAGACCTGCAGAAAGAAAAAAAAGAGACAAAACCGAGAAACCACAACAACAAGCAACATTATGTTGCTTGTTGTTGTGGCTTCTTGTGTTTTTTTTTTCTTCGTGGCCTAAAGTGTCGCCACGAAGACAGAAGGGAAGAAAAAGGAAAAGAAACACATCCAAGAAGCTCTCCAAACGTGGATATTCTAACTGGGCTTTTGTCAAGTCAGCAAGGAAATCTACAAAACACACTAATAAATAGAAAAAGGAGAACAACAGACGTATAAACATTATCATCCCTTATGTTGCTGGAGTATCAGAGAAATTCAGAAGGATTTTCAACAAACACAACATCCCAGTATATTTCAAACCCAGTAGGGCTCTCAGACAGAGGCTGAGACAACAAAGACCTTAAGAAACCCTTACTGTTAAGGTGTTGAGATGTGAATTGTCAAATCTACATATGTATGTGCATCTTATCTCAATCAGCCTTATAACCTGAACCCCTCACTCACTGCTCTTTGAATTGAGAAAGCTCCTCGAATGAGGAGCGAAACGTCTTTGTTACAAATAAAGTCCAGTTGTTTTTGTATTGAACATTTTTTGACTTCATCAAAGAACTCCGAGGACGGAGCTGTGTCTGAGATTTCAGCTGGTAAGTTTACGTTTGTTAACGTTACTGCAGCTTAACACGTGCATTGCGGTGAATTAATCTAGAATCCATGTAACGCTAACTTTACGATAATTAGTGTGTAGCTGTATTTTATCTACGTAGCTAGCTAAACTCAGAAGCTAACTAAAGATTGACACTAACAGATAAAGCTTAGCTTGTAAAATTGTGCTCATCCATCGGGTCAGCTGGTTAAACAGTTCACTAATGTTTACTGTTTGTTTATGTTCTCCTCACAGAAGCCTCTGACCCTGATGTGAGGACAGAGGCAGACAAAAGAAAAGTGAGGTGGGGGCCACAGGACAGTCACAAACTTTGTTGTTAAAGTTTGCTACCTTTTTCTACAGTGGAGGCTGCATGGTGGAGGTAAGTAAACTTTAAAGGATGTTGTTGACCAGTTAAGCTTTTATCTCTCAGCCTAGATAATGTTTTTTGAGCAATAATAACACAACCATGTTATTGTTGATGTTTTGTGTTCTAATGTCAATTAGGGAGAGGATAAGAGCCCTAAACCCCAGAGAACCACAGAGAAGATTCAAGCAGAGAGACAGGGGTACAGAAGTCTGCATCAACCCTAACCTCAGTGAATCCAGTGACCTGGTGGTGGAATGTGAGGGACAATATGCCAGCGCTATCAAACTTGACAACCAGGTATCTGTGTGTGCAATAAGCATCATCCACACCCTCAGAGCGAACATTTTCTACTGCTGGAGACACCATCAGCCAGGAGCGGGCTTATTTGTGTCCAGAGAAAGCAGACGTTGATTTTTCTGAAGATAAACTGCTAAGTGAAAAAGTCCTCGGTGTGTAGCAGTGAGAATTAGACACTAACGTGTCACTGGTTGTTTGCCACTGTTCTTTAGACCTGGACATTATTTGTTTATTTTTATGTAAGAAAACTGCTTGTAATAGAAATACCAAAGTTAAGAAAATAAAACTCACAATTTGTATTGTAATGTGTAACGTAATTTTATTCTTGTTAGAATTAATAGTAATTACAAAATTTGTACCGATAAAAGAAAAAAAAACGTCCAGAAACCGACAACGAAGTGAAGGTTCCGACACTGGTACCGATACCAATTTTTTTTTTAGAAAGGTACCCAGCCCTAGCTTAGAGGCCATTTTACCAGCTTGTTGGTTCAGAACTGCGGCGATATCGGTCTCGGAAACAGAATCCTGCCCAAAGGTAGCAAGAGTGCAGTTATAAAAATTAGTTTTCCATTAGGCTTGACGGGAGCCATCTGAGACACAGTCTATTCCGTCAGCTCCATCTTGAGTCCTCTGTGGCCTGATTTTTAACTGGTTTAGGCATTTTTCATTTTTATGCAGAAATATAGAAAGTTCTAAAGGCTTCACAAACTACCACTGTGTGTATGAATATAAAGTTTTATAATTGTTCCTGATGTTCATGTTTTCAGTGTTCCCTGCAGATGTTCAGCAGATGGTGCTGATTAAAGAAGAAGCTCCTGAAGTACGGATGCTTGGTTTGGACCAACAGGACCCTGTGACCCTCAACATAAAGGAGGAAGAGGTAGAACTGTGGATCAGTCAAGAGGGAGAGCAGTTTTGTGTGAAAAGGGAGACAGATAACACGGGGTTTGCATTCACTGCTGTTCCTTTGAAGTGTGAGGAAGATGAAGAGAAACCTCTGTTTTTACAGCTTCATCAGTACAAAGTAAAAGAGGAAGATCTTCCAACCAGCAGCTCAGCTGACCAGATGAAAGTGGCAACTGGTGGAGAGGACAGTGGAGGAGCAGAAACTACCACAAACCCAGATGATGATGACGATGATGTGGATGATGTGAATGACTCTGACTCCCAGCTAAAAGACTTATCAGGCTCTGGGTCAGAACCTGAAGATGATGACAAAGACTGGAAGGAAAGCAGAGCTCTTGAGTCAGGCGTACACACTGTCAAAAAATCTTGCAGCTTCACTGAGCATGGGAAACAATTTCACAAGACAAGTCAGTCAATGATGTCTTCAAGTTCTTTGGTTATCATGGAATATTTTGAAGTGAAGAAATCTGGAAGTTCAATCAAGAAAAAGCAATCAACTAAGAACTCATTTAGTTGTAAAGACTGTGGGAAACGATTTAACCAAAAGGGTCATCTAAAGACACACATGATAGTTCACACAGGACAGAAACAATTTAGTTGTCAAGACTGTGGACAAAGATTTACCCAAAAGGGTAGTCTAAAGACACACATGATAGTTCACACAGGACAGAAACGGTTTAGTTGTCAAGACTGTGGAAAAAGATTTACCCAAAAGGGTAGTCTAACGAGACACAGGATAGTTCACACAGGACAGAAAGCATTTGCTTGTGATCTTTGTGGACAAAGGTTTGGAGACAAGTCAACTTTAAACAGACACATGCTTATCCACACAGGACAGAAAGCATTTGTTTGTGATCTTTGTGGACAAAGCTTTGGACAAAAGTCAACTTTAAACAGACACATGATTGTCCACACAGGACAGAAAGCATTTGCTTGTGATTTTTGTGGACAAAGGTTTGGAAAGAAGTCAAGTTTAAACAGACATATGATAGTCCACACAGGACAGAAAACATTTGCTTGTGGTCTTTGTGGACAAAGGTTTGGACTGAAGACAAATTTAAACAAACACATGATAGTCCATACAGGACAGAAAGCATTTGTTTGTGATCTTTGTGGGCACAGGTTTGGACGGAAGTCAACTTTAAACACACACATGATAGTCCACACAGGACAGAAAGCATTTGCTTGTGATCTTTGTGGACACATGTTTGGTCAGAGGACACATTTAAGCAGACACATGATTGTCCACACCAGAGGAAAGCCGTTTAGCTGTCAATAATAACCTTTTTTTTTTTTTTTATCACCTATCATATCATAAATTAATACATTCCTTATAAAAATGTTTTTTCTTTGTACCTTTGTTACCAAACTTTTGATTTTTATATTTGTCCACTAGGTGGTGCTTTGCTTTTTTGATATGAGTGCTTCTGTAAAAGTCTAGTTCAACTTACCCCAGAAGAGGTACCTACGTCTTTCACTGCTAAAGTATTTGAAGAGTCCAACCTCAATGGTGGGTGACAGGTGCAAACGAGCTGCAAACGGCTAAACGTACAGCAAACAGTTAAAATGTGCTGCAACCCCATGAATGACGTGATGACGATGTTTTGTACTCCAAAACCAAAAAAAAAAAAACGCAACAGAAAAAGTCTTCAATCACAGAAAATAGATGAAGACACAATCAAAAAATAAAACGAATGCAATGGAAAAAATGCTGCAAATACCAAAAACACTAAAAACACCAAAACAACTTTAAGTAAGTAACGTGATTGTAGGTTTTATGACCCAAATTAGGCAGACTGAAGAGACTCAGACACAAGTTAACAAAAAGTGTTTGTTTATTTACAGTTCAGCAAGCTGGGGCTATAGCTGTGGGAGGAAAGAGGAGACACTGTGAGTATGGTTGACTCCTGAGTATCCAAGTTGCAGATATTGTGATATGGATCTCTTACTGTTTGTTGTATTTAAGATTTTGTCAAAGATGGGGAGGTACCAGGTCCAGGGGATCCAAATGGAGAGGGGTATGAGAACCATAGGTGAGTATTGCAAGATTGGATGATGGCTTTGTGAAGTTTGAGTTGAGTTCCAGCTGAGTTTAATATTTTCTGATAAAAGAGATCCAAACGATGCCGGAGAGCCAGGAGGTTGTTGGGAAGACATGGCAGAACAGAACTAGACAGACAGGCAAAAAATCAAAGTTAGACAAATCTTTCTTTAGTTTTCAGGTTCAGGCTGTCGCTCAAATTACCCAGGGTAATAAATGCTCCAGCGTAGGTTGAATGTCTGGCAGATGTTTAAGTAGAGTGGAGATGCTGGTCGTTAATCAGGTGCAGGTGAGGTGATTAGATGATTTGCAGCTGTGGGTGGAACTGGAGGTGACAGGAAACTGGAAATCCCACAGTACCCCCCTCTCAAGTATCTCCTCTTGGCAATTGTTTTTTATGGTGCTCCTTCTAAAAGTTAATAATCAATGCGGGTTACAAGATGAAGGACCTAGGAACCCAAGAGCGTTCCTCTGGGCCATAGCCTTCCCAGTCAACTAAATATTTGAAACCCTGACCCCTGCGTCGGACGTCAAGGAAACGTTGCACCGAGAATGCAGGGTGGTCGTCAATCAGACGGGGGTAGTGGAGGGAGGTCGGTAGGGGGGTTCAGAGGGCTGGTGGAAACGGTTTGATTTAATAAACATGAAATGTGGGATGGATTCTCATAGAATGGGTTAATTTGAGGCTTACTGCTGATGGGTTGATGATCTTAATTATGGGAAAGAGACCAATGAACTTGGGGGCCAATTTCCTGGGAGTATCTTTCAGATTAATGTCCTTGATGGACAACCATACCTTTTGGCCCAATTGGTATTTTGGCGCGGCAGATCGATCACGGTCAGCAAACCGCTTGTTTTGCTCAGCTGTTCGAAGAAGGGCTGCTTTCGTCTGGCGCCAGACCTTGCGACATCAACAGAGATGGTGCTGAACAGAGGGAACAGAAATGTCAGATTCCTGAGCAGGAAACGGAGGTGGTGAATATCCCACGGAGGCCTCAAAGGGGGAAAGGCCTGTTGCTGAGGATGTTTGTGAGTTGTGTGCATATTCAACCCAGGGTAGATGTAGGCTCCCAGGTTGTTGGGTTGTTCTCAATTACACACCGTAAAGCAGCTTCCAGGTCTTGATTGCACCTTTCGGTTTACCTGTTGGACTGAAGGTGGTACCATGAGGTCAAACTGGAGGTGCCTCCCAGGGCCTGGCAGAAAGCTTTCCATACTTGTGATATAAACTGGGGACCTCTGTCTGAAACAATATCCTGGGGTATGCCATGTAGGTGAAAAACATGTTTGATAAGGATGTGTGTGTTGTCTCTGATGCTGAAGGAAGCTTTACAAGTGGTATGAAGTGGGCGGCCTTGAAAAAGCGATCAATTATGGTACAGACAACCGAATTACCTTCAGATATGGGCAGATCCATGACGAAATCGAGTGTGATGTGTGACCAAGGTCGTCCGGGTAAAGGTAGAGGAAGGAGTAGACCCGCCAGGGATTGGTTATTGTTCTTGTTACGGGCACACATGGAACATGCTGCCACATACTCCTTGACATCTCTGTCCATATTGGGCCACCAAAAATGTCTCTTTGTCAGGAGAAGCATGTGTTTCGTGCCTGGGTGACAAGAAATCTTTGCAGAGTGAACCCAGTGCAGAACCTTACTTGTCATAGTACCCAGAACGAAGAGTCTTCCGGGAGGGCCGGTGCCATGATCTGGATCTCTCTTGAGCTTCACGGATCTCTTTCTCTATGGCCCAAGTCAAAACTCCCACTGTGCAGAATTGGGGAAGAATCCTTTCTGGAGTGCTGGATTCTTCTGTAGAAGAGAACTGGCGAGAAAGAGCATCGGGTTTGATATTCCAGGTGCTAGGAATGTATGATATGGAAAAGTTGAACCTGCCAAAAGACCAATGAGCCTGGCGTGCATTAAGTCTCTTGGCCCCCTGAATGTAGGCCAAGTTCTTGTGATCTGTCCAGATAATAAATGGTAATTCTGCTCTTTCCAGCCAGTGTCTCCACTCTTCCAACGCCATCTTGATGGCTAACAATTCATGGTTGCCCACATCGTAGTTTCTCTCAGCAAGCGATAATCGACGGGAGAAGAACGCACAGGGATGCATCTTACCATCCTCTGAAAATCTTTGAGAGAGGACTGCTCCCACCCCAGTATTCGATGCGTCTACCTCAATTATGAATTGTCGGTGGAAGTCAGGGTGAGACAAATTGGGGGGCCGATCAGAAGAGCCGTTTTAACTCTTGAAAAGTGTCTTCTGCCTCTTGGGACCAGATGAATTTCCGTACAGATGAGGTAAGTTGTGTGAGTGGTATAGCTATTTTACTGTAGTTCTTGATGAACCGCCGGTAGATACTGGAAAACCCCAGGAAGCATTGCAGTTGTTTGCTGTCCTGAGGTGTACCCCACTCCGTCACAGCCTTGATTTTTTTCTGGATCGGAACAAACCTGTCCTTTTTCAAAAATAAAGCCCAAGAAGGTTATGGAGGACATGTGACACTCACATTTCTCCACCTTAATGAACAGTTAATGTTCTAGTAGACTTTGAAGGACGGCCTCAACATGTTTTGTGTGTTGGTTGGCATCCTTGGAGTAAATCAGAATGTTGTCAAGGTATACAAACACACACACACATTTAAAAAAAATCTCTCAGGACATCGTTAATGAGGTTTGAAAAATGGCAGGTGCATTGGTTAATCCGAAGGGCATGACAAGATGTTCGAAATGTCCCAAAATGGGTCTTAAATGCTGTTTTCCATTCATATCCCCTCCCAGATCCTCACCAAGTGGTAAGCGTTACGCAAGTCCAACTTAATAAATATAGTGGCATCCTGAAGCTATTTGTAAACTGAGTTGATCAACAGTAAGGGCTATTTGTTTTTCACAGTTATTTGATTTAACCCTCTAAAATCTATGCAGGGTCTCAGGGTTTCGTCTTTCTTTGCGATAAAGAATAACTCTGCACCGACAGGTGAGGTAGAGGGGTGTATGATGCCAGTCTTTAGTGATTCCTCTATGTATTGTCTTATCGTCGCCGTTTTTGGACCTGATAGGTTGTACAATCTGCTTCAGGGCAGAGGGGCCCCAGGAAGAAGATCTATGGGACAATCATAGAGTCTATGAGGGGGTAGAGAGATGGCCTTGTGTTTGCTAAAAACCGGGGCTAGTTTACGATATGCAAGGGGTATTTTGGAGAGATCAATCTCCTCCAGAACATGCGATAAGAATTACCCTGGAGAAATGGCAGAACATAAACATTCAACTGAACAGGTTTCCCCCCCACCTCTCAATTCGGTTCTCTCTCCAGTTAATTATAGGGTTTTGTACTTTTGGCCAGGGATAACCCAAAATGAGTTGAGGTTTAGAAGACTCAAATTCAAATATACTTTATTAATCCCAGAGGGAAATTATTTGTTGTAGTAACTCGTTATCCTCGTTTCATTAAGAGATGTTAAAGATACTGATGGCTGTAGACAGGAAGGATCTCTTGTAAAGGTCCATCCCACAGTGGATCCTAATAAACTGGCTGCAGATGCCGTCTGATCCGTCCACCCAGACTCGACTGGCCTCTCGGTTTCCCCGGGCTGTAGGAACGCCCGAATGCCGGGCAGAACTCCTCCCAGAGCGATAGCCACTCCTCCCAGCAGTCTGCCGAGCTCCTCTTCACTGCGGACAGCCAACTGTAGGTGCCGAGGGATGATCCTGTCCTTCCGCTGTCATGAGCGAAATACAAAATACAAATACAAAGAACTCAACCTTTTCATGATGATTTCCAGAGAGGACCAAGTGCAAAGCGTGAGTCTTGAGAGATAGAGGAAATTGTCTGACCTGTGAGAGCTGCATCGTTGATCAGCTGGTTCAGGGAGACGGTCAGGATATTTAGTTGTTTAACCAGGTTCAGGCTAGGGCTGGGCGATATGAGGAAAATCTAATATCCCGATATTATTTTGCTATATCACAATACACGATATATATCACGATATTAATAAATAATCTCCAGTGTTACTTTAAACTAGTATTTAAAATTGCACTGGTGTACTCTATTCAAACAGACCATTGATGTTTTTTTTAATTGAATACAAAATCAGAATAAGTTTAAAATGTTTTATTGTAACCAATCAGTTGCACACAAATCATGTTCTTCAGTAATGAAATTAGTACCACTGTCTCTTACTGTAGTCAACACTATACCTTTAATAAACAAGCAAAAAAAGTACACCAAGCACAAATTCACAATGAAAAATAAACTAGTTGTCTGAAAAAAAAAGGTGCTTGTTAGTGCTTTTTGCATAAAAATTGTAAAATCAATTTTGTTACTGCGTCAGTGATTTCTCTCCACTTTGTACTTTTTGTGTCATACGGGATGGCTTTGGCAAACGAAGAAGCTAGTGTCATCTGCTTCACAGCTGTATCATTTAACGTTTTCTTTGTTGTGTGGGGAGACGTGGACATACGGAGTTTACAACATTCTTCATTTTGCAGTGGATGACTTCTTAGGTGGTGAAATAAATTTGTGGTACTGCTTCCTTTCGTGGCAATGGTTTTACGACACGTTTTGCAAATTACCGCATTTTGTTCGACATCCTCCTTGTAAAATCCAAACCACTGCCAGATTATTGATCCAGTGCTGTTTCTCTTCGGAACTAGTTCATTGGACTCTTCAGTTATCGTCTCATTCACCCGCTCACCTGAATCTCCCGCAGTCGCCATATTTTTTCCTCTCTCCAAGTCCATATGCGCATGCTCCGCACAGCGTGTCATGCGGAACATTTTCAGGTTGGGAGGGGCAGGGAGTAGTGATGCATTTGTTGCGTGTCGGATAAACGAAACTCACAGTGAATTTGATGCGGAAAGCGTATTATTTGAATGGCAATTTATACTCAATGGTTGCGATAGAGCCATTTTAACCATCGTAAATTGAAAAACTCGAGGTACATCGAGTATATTCGATACATCGCCCAGCCCTAGTTCAGGCTAATGAGATTCTGTTCAGCTCTAGGAACTATTAGTGCCTGAGTAGGAAAATTAACATTATCAACACACAGAATAGCTGGTAAACAGAAATTTTTGTCAGGATAAGAAGTTAATTTACCCACCACTATCTCCTGGTTTAATGGTGGTGTTTTCCTTTTAAATGGAGCTGGCATGAATGCATGTAGCAGCCCTCCTGTCCACAGTACATGCACATGCAGGCGTTGGTTGCAATCCTCTGTTGCTTTTCCTTGGGAGACAGTTTTGTCTTGCATCGGCTCCTGTTCTGAGGTAGTAATGGGTGGGGACCAAAAAACACTTCCGGTTGCAAGGTAATCACGGGATTTGTATTCTTTTTCCATGGCCCACTCTCAGTTTCGATTATTCGAATAGCAAGGCTAATTAGCTTCTCTAAGTCTTGTGGGGTCTCGTGGGTAGCGATCTGGTCTCTGATCTTGTTGTTCAATGTGTGTAGAAAAGCGCCTTTCATCGCGGTTTTACCCCATCCGGACTCTTCCTCGATAATCCGGAAGCGATGGAGAACTCGGAGACAGATCTTGAGCCTTGGGAGAGAGTGAATAATCTTTAAATGGCTTCTTCCTGTAACAACAGATGGTCGAAAGCTCGACGGAACTCCTGATTGAAGGAAGCGTATGGAAAAGAATGAATGGGTCGAGACCGAAGATGAGCGTGCACCCACCGTAGAGCTTCGCCCTTGAGAGAACTGTGTAAGCGATTTGGGAGGCATCAGAAGCGTAAGTGACAGGGGCTCGACAGAAAGCAAGGTCACATTGTAACAAAAAGCCCCCGAACAGTTTGGGGTTACCTTCAAATAGTTCGGATGGGCGGATGTCTGGTTCTCTGATGACGGTTGTATTAGAGCTCAGAGCCGGGGTGGGTTTGGGTTGGAATGGAGGTGCTGGATCCTTAGGAGCTAAGGCCATGGCAGAGGAAAGGAGCATCCCACACAGCTTTCTTTGTTGGGCAAGGATTTGTTGAAGAGTACGATCAAGTTTATCAGTGCGTTCATTCTGTGATCGTAATGCTTGGCTAATCTGATTCTCGTCAGTCATGCCCTGAGGGTCTGTATGGCTGGAGCATTCTAACATAATTGTAGGTTTTATTACCCAAAGTAGGCAGACTTAAGAGACTCAGACACAAGTTAACAAAAAGTGTTTGTTTATTTACAGTGCAGCAAGCTGGGGATATAGCTGTGGGAGGAAAGAGGAGACACTGTGAGTATGGTTGATTCCTGAGTATCCAAGTTGCAGATATTGTGATATGGATCTCTTACTGTTTGTTGTATTGTAGATTTTGTCAAAGATGGGGAGTTACCAGGTCCAGGGGATCCAAGTCGAGGGATATGAGAACCAGAGAGGTGAGTATTGCAAGATTGGATGATGGCTTTGTGAAGTCCTAGTTGAGTTCCAGCTAAGTTGAATATTTTCTGATAAAAGAGATCCAAACAACGCCGGAGAGCCAAGAGGTTGTTGGGGAGACACGGCAGAGCAGAACTGGACAGACAGGCAAAAAAATGAAGGTTAGGCAAATCTTTCTTTAGTTTTCAGTTTCAGGCTGTCGCTCAAATTACCCAGGGTAATCAATGCTCCAGCGTAGGTTGAATGTCTGGCAGATGTTTAAGTAGAGTGGAGAAACTGGTCGTTAATCGGGTGCAGGTGAGGTGATTAGATGAATTGCAGCTGTGGGTGGAACTGGAGGTGACAGGAAACTGGAAATCCCACAGTAAGAAATGCAACAAACTCCAAAAAACGGAAATGCACCAGACTACTGGGGGGTCTTGACCACCAAGTCACATGGGACCACCAGACCCCTTGTAAATACATTTTACCTGAGCGGCCACTTTTTAAAATTATAATACTTTTATAGTATGCAATGATGCATAAAATATCTCAAGTAAAGAGAGGTTTTGGTAATGTAAGGAAACAAAAATTTGCTGTTTTTAAAGATAACGGCAGAAAATTAAACATTGGCAAGATGATGGCTTTAAATCATGTAATTTTCTATTTCATAGGAGAACCAGAGATATATTAAGATAAACATGAAAAAAGAGCATTAGATAATTTTGTCACAATATGAAATTGTAATTGGAGGGTAAGGTTATCAAAACAGTTAGTCCAGCTAAGAAGATCTGGCACATTTCTAAGATCTGCCAATGTAAAAAAGAAACACTCCCAATAATTTTAGTGAATAGTATGTGTCTATATCACTGATTTTAGTGTTTGGAAAAGTCTAATAGCTCTCATCAATTTACAAAACAGGCACATTTTTAAAACTATATTTCTAAATATTTTCAACCAATTTCATTAATCTTTATGTTAAACTTTTACTACTTAATGCCAATATATTAAGGATACATTTGAACAGAAAATGTTTTTTGAGATATCTTGTTACTTTACTTAGCCAAAAAAGTGATGTTTAAGATTTTGCCATTATTTATTGGGTGTACCATCCTCAAGACAATTTCAGGCCCAGTGCTCCTTTTTTTGTACAACCAGGCTAAAAATAATCGGAAAGCATTTCTCTTTAAAATAAAATAGGTTAATGCTTTAAGTACTCTGCACATTAAACTCCTAATATAAGCCACTTTTTGTGCCAGTGGCTGCTCATCTGTAATGTATTTACAGGGGTCTGGGCCCATATTACCCCCTAGTGGTCTGGTGCACTTCCAATTTTTGGAGTGAGTTTGCAGCATTTTGTACTTGCAGTTGTTTTGGTGTTTTTAATGTTTTTGGTATTTGCAGCATTTTTCCTTTGCATTCATTTTTTTGGTTGAATGTTTCTTCTACTTTCTGTGATTGCAGGTTTTTCCTTTTGCGGCATTTTTCTGTTGCATTTTTTTATTTATTTAGGAGTTTGCATCATTCATGTGTTTTCAATGTGTTTTAACTGTTTGTTGTGCGTTTACACATGTCGGCCACTATGCGTACGCCTCTCATCTTATCTGACAAAATGTATTCAGTTAGGGCGTAAGGATCAAAATCTCATATGTAATTTGCCCAAGTAAGTATTTAGTACTAAAGTTGTTTTGTTTGTGTATGTTTGTGTGTGTGTGTGCGCGCGCATGAGTGCGCGCACGCGCGTGTGCAAATGCAAGTAAATGTTAATATAGAAGTTTAACTGGAAATGACAGATTTGTGTTAATTTTATGAAGACAAATATTAATTACGTTATCAGTGGAAACCAGCAGAATTCTGCTATCATCTAGTCTTTGTTTATGTCACACTTGTCTGAATACTCTGTACATATTTAAGAATTGCTGCAATGTAGTGTTTGAAGGCAAAAACACCTCCTTTATCTTGTCAGTTCCTGAAATTGGTACCAGTTTTAAATGTTTAGTGCATATATAGAAAACCTAATAATTTAAAATACCACTCATCTTATGATTGTTGTACTTTCACAGAACATTAAACAAGAGAGAATGTTTCTGTTGTATGTTCAAATGTCTCTTTAAAAGTCACCTACTAGTCAATCCAGCTGGTGCACAGTTTTTTCTTACAATCTTGAGCTACAGTTCTGTCAGTCTGTAGCTGGAGCTTGGCTCTCCTCGTCTTAACCATAATGTGTGTTGGGTATAAATTCAGAATTTGATTTTTTTTTTCTCAGTTTTTGCATAAAATTGTGCTTTAATACTATATTAAAATAGAAAACTTTTTTAAAAATTATACTGTAAAATCAAAATGTACACCCTGGCGCACAATAATCTTCATATTTTTACATTGCTTACATTTTATAAAGCATTTCTACTTTATATTTAACTAGATAACCTCTAGGGGGTGCTACTTCTTCACACATGGAGAACAAATCACGTTCTTCCTGTTTACACACCTGGTTGTTTTCAGCCTTGCAGGAACAAACGGCACATCTCTGCACAAAGATGACAGTATGAGCTTTTCATTATGAAGTGTTATAAAGTTTGTTTTATGACTTAGCATGTATCTAAACAAAGTAGGTTGTGATAAGCATCAGTAATGAATACTTCATGAAACTGCTTTAAGCTTTATGTATATACACATTTTTCCAACAGCTTTTACAAAGAATATAAAAGCTGCAATAAAGTTAATATACAAATATTTCCGTTCATCCATCGTATTTCTTAGTTCATGTCTTGGATCTTATTACTGTTCTTCTTTACAATTTGTATTTTTGTTGGCTGTAACTGGGACTCTGTGTACATAGTTTAATTCCACCTCATGTATAACATGTGATGTAAATGACAATAAAGACACTTTGACCTTGACCTAAAAAAGTAATTGACTGATTAGAACATTTAGTATTTAATATATATATATATATATATATATATATATACAGACAAAAATATAAAAGTTATGTACAAATTAAACTGAAATTAAAAGAAAACATGAATACAAATAACATAATTCGATAACCGATTCAGGTAGAATAAACATTTTTGAAACTAATACTTACAGTTTGTAATATACTGTATGTTAGAACATAGTAAAGCACTTCCAGTGCACAGCAGGTAGAAAAATTAGCATAAAATTACAAAGCTTGTGCATAAACTACTGTATATGTCTCATTTTAAAAATCAAATCAAAGTGATCAGAAATTAGTTTGTCACAAACTGATCCCTTTCTCGGACTGATTGGTGCATCCAAATGCAGCGCAGCCATGGTAACCCAATCAACCTACAAAGGGTTTATTTAAGTATACATTAATAAATATTAATCTATCATACCACACAGAAAATATAGGGATATGTACAATTACTCGGTAAACTTTTCTCTTGTTCCACCCTCAACATTTCAATTAGTATTTGTAATTTTCTTCCAATTATTTCTTGTGTTTGTTTGTGTATGATCGAACAGTGCATACGAAGACAGTCCGAGCTTTGTGGATTTACTCATTTATAAACCTGTGGGAACACCACCTGACAGAGCAAAAAAAAAAAAGGACAATATAAACATTATAAACAACCTAAAAAGCTCTGAGGTGTGTTAGTATCTACACAGTAATAAGGTCGGTGGCATTTTGTTATAAGAAGTGGGACACAATCTTGAAGCAGAGACAGTCGAAGCCTTAAAACGTCCTCCATCACCAAGCCTGGGTGTTCGTTTCAACATCAGGTGTAATACAAGCAGGTTGTTCATGCATTGTAGGGAAAGGCAGGCCTTCCAGCCACACTGCTGCAATACTGTGGAATAAATGCTGAAAATTGTTTTATTTTTATTAATTACTTTAATTGCTTGACCTGGCCCAATTCCGATTTGGCTGGGCGGGCCATAATGTGTGTGTGTGTGTGTTTGTGCCTAATGTGCCGACCGACCGGTCTCGGGTTTTGATGCGGTTTTATGAATCATACTGCACGTTATAAAATTGTGTTAATATACTTGTAGAGGAGGAAGCTTCAGTTTATATGTTGAGAGGATGAAGAAAGAAAGAAGAGTGCAGCATGTTAATCAGATTGTGAAGAGATCACTGCCGCTGGGGGCATTGTGCAATAGTTGCGCACGTGGGCTCGGACTTCTATGATGCGATTTTAGAACCATAGCACAACTATATAAGAATGCACAATATAAAATTGTGTTAATCTAGTTGTTGAGGAGGGCAGCACGGTGGTAACCATCCAGGTTAGAGAAATAAGTTGCCCTTGCTTCTTTAACTGCATTGTTAAAAGAGGTTAAAATATCCTTTAAAAACAGAAGATGCACCTGTAGATTAGTTTTCTTCCACAAATGTTCAATTTTTCTGCAAGAATGCTTTAAACATCGAATGCTGTCATTTATCCACGGTGTGGGGTTAGAGACAGGCAATGACCTCTTTTTGATAGGGCAAATATTGTCTAAAACGTTGGTTACGTACTATAACCCCAGATTCTATGAGTATATGCGTAGCCCTTTAAGGCTGTCACTGATGGGTTTATTCCGATACACGAAGCATCACACTGAAAAATTTAGTCCACGCCCACCTGCTGTGTGGGCCCCACCCGGTCCGTATAAATTACGTTAAGAGCGGGTAATCGGCTCCCAAATAGCTTTTTCTTCAGCCATTTAGGAGCCAGTGAGGCCCGACGCTTAAAGGGCTACGCCTATACTCGTAGAATCTGGGGTTACAGTACGTAACCAACGTTCTATTTCGTATAGGCTTCGCCCTTTAAGGCTGTCGCTGATGGGTTAAGGGTGAAGCAGATGTGGTCCTCTCTTCACTGGGTCCATTCGAACACCGTATGAAGCAGAAGCTTGCCCAAAAAACGTCTTGCCACTCAGTTCCCCATGTACATAATTACGCATTGCGTAATTATGTGTGCCATGCACAGACACATGTTGTGTAACTATGCGTTCTGAATGCATGAACGCCCCGGAAAAATTTTCAACGGGGAGGGAAAAGTGCTGAAAG